CTCCATCCTCGAACACTGCAGCATAATATACGGAACTATGAGAAAGTGTGACAGAATTGCTGTGAAGAACCTGCAGAGGTCATTTACCAAACATCTGATTGGTAAACACACTGCTATGAGTTATCGAGAACGTTGCAATGAACTTCATCTCGAACCACTTTGGATTTGACGATTGAAACACAACTTGTTGCTGCTTTTCAACATGTTACATAAAAAGACTCAATTTACAACCTTACTCAACTCAAGCGCTTTGCAACAAAGGTTTTACACTGAATATACCCGTGGGCTAAAACGAACGTCCGCTCTACTTTCTTCCTGGTCAGATACAGCTATCAGTGGAATAAACTACCAATCACACTCTGGTCATGCGACAATGGGGCAACATTTAGTAGCAGACTCACCAATTACCTTGATCTAACTAAAATAAGCTCTAGATTCACATGGGAAAAATCCCTCGATGAGCTATTCCAAGAGGGGCCCAAAAACATATAAACACCAATGTTTTCATTACTAAGCTTTGGCCTCAACCATCCGGCAGAGTGTTAATACATGAAACGCATATTCCAATACTTCACCTATGCATGTCACCCATGCAAGAGCATGGATTCTTCTGTACAAATTGATCTGTGCCGCTATAGACAGTTTCTCTCATCAAGAGAAAAATACCTATTAGTAGTAGTAGTAGTAGTAATAGTAGTAGTAGTAGTAAGTAAGTAATTGTCGATATCGCGAGACGCGCCTGCACACGCATGCTCATGTTACCATACCATCTCCATCATGGACTGGAGAGGAGTTCAAGCGGTATAGGTGGCTACCAGCCTTGTAATTCACCCTGTGCACATTTCCTCCAGGCAGTATGATGGCTCAGCGCAGCAAAAATGAGTCACTTTTGCGTTACACTTCACTTGGGATGTCTACAGTATCAGTCTATGCCTACGGATCATCATGAGACTTCATGCTGGCATTTTTGTGGTCTACCAGTGACTGGATTAAGTGAGCCTTGGTGCAAAAATCGTTGAGTATTTGGAAACGAACAAGGTCTTATCGCTTCACTTCCAGGGTTTAGTCAGAAGCATCAAATAAAGGTGAGTTCCAGCTACTGTAGCCGAAATACAGGACAGCTCGTCTTGAAAAGAATATCTTAGACCAATGACGAAATCATGACATTGCGACGATTTCAGATAAATGCCGGTAGGCAACTGATCCAATGTAACCTGGATACGGTACATCAATGCGCAACCCGAAGTCTACTACAAGTAGGCGTAAATAAACTCAAGCCACTCTGTCATGCATATTCGTATATTCCCGGCTTGAACAACCGTACAGAGGATACTCTAATCCGGTTACCAAACGCAGACCCTGGCGAAATAGTGTAGGAACCGGTGAAGTTGGTTCGCCTAATGCAACATCTCATCGCCACACCACTAACCTGTACCACTGTACGTCAACGGACAGATCGGAACCCGACGAAACCTTTCGTAGTTGGATTTGCAGCACTGGCTGTCGTGCTACATTTTGTATCGATCTGAAACATTCGGACTCCGTAAAAATGCGCTGAGCCTACACACTGAGTATTCGTTTGGGGTCCACCGCCTAATTTCATCTCTAAAGCCGTGCCCGTTCGTCCCAAACCACCTGCCAAATGCACATCCGGGTGTGGCCCAAATGAAAGTCCTTGCGCGCGGCTTTTGTTGTCGTCCTGGCCTAGCTTCGGAAACAGAAATCTCTGAAAACGTGCGGCCTGTACCAACAGTATCAGTCTAGTAAACGTCCGGGTCCGGTACATGCTTGACATTGGTCCGAGAAGCCATGACAACGTATTCATGCCGAATACTTTGTTCAGAAAATGGTGTATATTTTTGCTGATAAGTAACGCTCATCTGAAATGGACAGATGTTTATCTCGTGTCTCACCCCACCACGGAAACAACGATTTTGAAAATGCAGTCGTTGTTTACCATATTTGGAATACCAGAAACACTTTACACGAATAATGGTCCATGCTTCACCGTCAAATAATTTGAAACTTTATAGATGGTAATGGTGTTCAGCTCAACCGTACAGCCGCATGGCATTCTGCTTCTAAGGGATTAGCAGAGAAGGCCCTTGCGAACCATCAGAAGAGGTCTATTGGAACAATTATCGGAAATCACCCAGATGTGATTAGGTCGCTTGCTGATTGCGTACGGGGTAATAGCAACGGAAGTCACTGTAAATCTCCTGCAGAATTGATAGTTGGATGAACATTTCGCACTAGACTAAATCTTCGATCTCTAAATCATCGCGCATAAGTGGAGAGAAAACAAGAAAAGGCGATTATATTAAGCAGAGACTTCGATTCCGTTGGCAGTCCGCAACTGTGGTTAAAGGTGGCGGGATACGAGCAGACCGCGAAGTAAATGACCGTACACTACGGCAACATTCTAATCACATGCGTTCGCGTGGAAAGAGGAACATGTGTCAGATTCTGTACAGCCGGCAACGGACGCAGCTCCACAGGGTTCTGTGCAATCATCAGACGCACTCTAGCTGCGAAGATCCCAACTCAGGAATAAACCTGTTGAGCGCTTTGTGACAGGAGTGTGAACATTTCAAAGGCGGAAGGGACGTCACGTGCTTGGATGACTACTATCCATTTAGGTCAACTGTGCGGATTGGCTGTTCTCCCGCAATGGCTGGCCAGTCACCTCTCAGATCCCGGAACTTACAACGTAGGTTGTTCTTCTTGCCGGATTACGTCTTAGGATGCTCGCGTTTTCCACGCTACTCCTATTTCCACTGTGACCCAGGTGTGTTGGTTCAGGGTGACCTGGACTGATCCAAGCAATCCAAAATGGCATCGTAAGTTGGTAATCAATACGTTAGACCGTTTAGACGCGTTAAGGCACAGCAGCATTTCAACTTTTCGTCAGAAATTCTGTGCTTGGTTTAGTAATCATGTTGAATAAGCGGTTCAGTACTGGCAGCCATGGGTTAGCATAATCTATTTACCCTAGAGCAACCACAACATCCGGCTTCCAAATACGGTTGGAGTGCACAATCACCTATAAGGGAGGCCGAAACAATTGGGGTATCCAATGGACGGTTTGGTCGGTTTTGAAATGATCGAATAATGACTCATCCGATCCTGCACAACCCAGGTTCCTTATGTCACTCAGGAATATCTTCACCCTGGAAAGTCACCTCTTGAAACCGTCGAAAAGTACAGCCATCTGGCCTTACTAGACCTACTGGGGATCTAGAAGCAAAATGGAGATCAGAACTACTGCATCAAATGCAATTAAAAAGATGAATTTGGCCCTTTCGATAAAAAGTACAAGTGTTTTCGACTGTAACGCTTAGGAAACCCGCTAAACCACGTAACGAAGATGGTAAATTAATGCACTGTTTGTTGCTGTAACCTATACTATAAGTCGTTTGTTTAGACCAATCTCTACTATGATTGGGATATTATAACACTGAAACATCCAAAACTGGGTTGATGATGAGGGTCAGCATGTTCACGTGTCGTATATAAATACCACAGGTATTAATAATATTAATATTAATAATAATAATACGTATATTTCTTCTGATTCGAGAAACTGTGTATGCAGCGGCACAGATAAATTTGTGCAAAGTAATCAGGTCCCTGCATATATGAGTATTGGGACATGCGATTCATGTAATAGAATTTTGGCGGATGATAGAGGCGAAACCCAAAATTTAGAAACGTGGATGGTTAGATGTTTTGGGGCCAATCTTAGAATATCTCATTAGAGTTTTGCCCATGTGAGTATAATTATTATGGTATTCAGGTCAACTTCAGAGCTTGTTACTAGATCTTGTCAAATTGTCACATGAACTGAGCATGACTGGTGGTTTTTCCCACATATAGATATGCTTGACCAGGAAGAAATTGAAGCACATGGTTGTTCTAGCTTTTGGGATAACCAGTTCATAATGTTTTCTACGCATCTCTCGAGTTGAGCTATGTTGCAGTTTGAGTGTAGGCAAATCTGTATAGGTCTTTTTGTGCAACAAATTGTAAGGCAGCGCCAAGTTATGCTACAATGATTGCATCCGATGTGGTTAGACTTGGAGTATGTTGCAACCCTCTCGAGAATTTATGGCAGAATATTTATTTACCAACTAGACGTTTGGTAAACGGTCTGTGCAGATGTTCCGGAGCAATTCTATCGTTCTTCCTCATGTTGCCGTACAGTATGCCATAATACTCATGGATTGGGCGGGTAAGCAGTTTGAAAAGCTCAACTCTGGCATGGATAGTGTGAGTTTTGTTGGATAAATTAACCATCTATTGTCTATCACATGATCTTTGGTATGGGTACTGTTCGGAGAGGTTATCAGTCGATGAGTACCTAATTGTTAGATCGCGAGTGGACAGCTGTACAATGACCTATTCGCTGTTCAGTATAGTAGATCCTTCGGGGAAGGAACAGGCGTGATACATGCCGCTTGGTTTTTTAGCCGAGAGGTTGCAACGTTGCACAAGCTCCTGTTGATCACCCTGCACAATGGAAAGGGATTTTAGTCTGGCAGACCAGTTCGTTTCAATCGGCGATAAGGGCTTAATGTGTCAAGAAGATTGATAACTAACAATCAGCGCATTCTTTCTGCTTCTTAAACTAAGTAATGTTAAGTGGGAAGTGTTGAATCAACATGTCATTCAAATGGTAAAATTACTTCGCCTACTGTGAGAGATAGGCGATTTAAACGCAATCTGTCCTTACTCGCCTGGTAGGAACTGTAGACGGTATGCCAGCATTACTTCAGTTGCATGATAAGCACACTGTGATGACCTAATTCTTCCGACTTAGCACAAAAATCTACTTGATTTCAGCTTCTCTCGTACTGCACAGCTCGGTAGAATTTATTTCTACTTTATGGATACAAGAAATAAGCTGGCTTAATTAAAAATGCACTAGCCTTCAGATGGCCTCACCTCCTTGTCAAGTTCTCACTAACAAATATATCACAGTTTAACGAAACGTTACTCACCGTTGTGGAAGTCAGAGTTGAGTAGTTACTTGTTTCCACGTAGATGCGTTTTTTCCAGGCACTCATTGAGGAAATTTTGGCATCAATGGCCATCCGGTACAATGCCCGATTCGTGTCCGCCAGTGCGAAATTGGTCAGCGCGGTTAAGGCCACCAAGGAATCCTAGAAGAAGCCGACGGACAAATATACCTTTTAGCACAACCCTTTCAATGAATAAATGCCGCCGTTTTATCGAAGACCGGACCAAACATTTAGTATCCTACTCACCTGGGCAGCTATTTCAGCAGTCCTTGACTTGTTTCTATGGGCACTGAAAGCTCATTAGTCCGATACCAGATGAAGTGGGCTAGCGGGGTGGATATTTTAGGTTTTCTTGGATTCGCAATTTGATTGCCAAGCCAGGCGAGTGCATGAATACTTAAACAGTCAACTCGAACTGCCAGCGCTTCGAGTAGTTTCTTGGCGGACTTTGATAAACTAGAAACTTGTGCTCACCAGTTGTTCACGCACACACGTCTCACACTTGGGAAGTCGATCCCGCGCACTTTCGAGCGAATAGTTATAGTTTCAAAATGACAATTTTCTGGCCACTAACGACGATTCTCCCAAACCTACAGCTATTAGATCTGACGGAAGTTGCTTTCGGCCAGATAATACTCTCGCTTAGTCTACTTCGACCCGTCTAAATCCACATGCTCAATCGGTGACTGTCTATTTACACATAGCGTATTGCTAGTTTTTCTGTTTTTGTAGTTAAACTCATTTACTACACAAAGGGTCGGTACTCCGGTGGACGGCTCCGACCACAGCCGTTTGGTGGGCGCGGTTCGTTCGCAAACTTGGAGGAGATTTGCACGGGAACCGTATCTATTCCCCGTCCACAGCTGGTGGACACTGAGTACCTGATGTAAAGCACGCAGTCTCGATAAATGCATCTGAAGAGCAAGCGACTTCGAACTCGAATGTTTTTCGAGTCCGCTAAGTAGGTGCATTCACTGACGTGGTTAGCAGACAGCTTGAAAGGATCGAAAAGTATCATGGCAGACCTAGGAGAAAGTCATGCGGCCCAACTTTCATCGGTGGTGTAACTAAGGAAACTTCAAGCGCCTGAGTGAAGGAAAGATTTACTGGGTGCGGTACAAATGCTGACACCAGAGCCCTGGAACACACGACGATGAGCCAAATGGGTGGAAGAGACTGTTGCCGGTTGCCACTCTTCTAGAACCGATCTTGACTACTATCAAGGAAAATGCAGGTTATAGGCATCGCTACGCCTTAATTACCAGATTGGTTGCGACCTGTGACGTGTTACCGGTGTCATCAACCAGGATCCTAGGGAGATACCAAGGACACTTTCAGAGATAGCACGTTACGCAGCTCGATTGTAACTACCACACTTAACTGCAATTATTCCAAGTCAGCGTAAGCCAAGTAGAAAACATGTCCCTTAATGACAATGGCGGACGGCGTCGCAACGGTTTCAAAATATGGCACCGTGCATGTGACCCACTACCGACGCAGGAACTAGGGTATGAACATAGCTGGATAGACTACAGCTGTTACTCTTAACAGTCTCACTTGAACATAGGGGCAAACATTGGTGGCCACTATGTGAACTGTACAGTGAGGCGTGTGTCCGTGGCTAACGGGCTAAACTGCCACCTGTGAACTGGTGCAACCGTCGACTAAAGCGTGCCAACTGGCCAGGTCAAGTGCTGTTTCAGAGCGCGCTAGAATGCCGTCACGCAGACGGCGCTGCGGCAGCACCACTGTATATCAAACAGCGGACAGCCAGTGGGAATACGGATAACGGTTTAAACTAGCCGCGCATCCTATACTCCTCAACATTATAATACCAGTGTAGTATTGCGTCTGTCTTAAGCTTAATGGTGTTGAGGGATAAATGGTAGTTCGCAGTGCTTGGTGTGCAGGCAAATGCGATGACGTTAACATCGGTTGAATGAGTGTTTCCCGCCCTTTCTAACGGTGCAAAGCAAACATAAGCGCATTAGTGATTTCGAGTTCTGCTTCTGGGCTGAATCGTGCCGAAATGGGCTGAATGCCCTAAAAGAGTATAGAAACAATGAAAAACATGAGAGCTCGCTTACATTTGCAAGCCCATTAATCATTATATATAATAATGGTCATAAAAGAGATAGTATGATGTTGGCTCGCTTGCTGTTATACCAAAACAACACGAAGCCAAATGAGACATGGAAATGCGGATGAAACCTTTCGAGGGAATACTCCGCATGGAAGCACGTCCTCAGGAGTCGGTTCCACGGTTAGCAGTATTAATTCTGTTGTGCCTTTTTCAATAATCACTTTCATTCTGCTTTTATACTCACTTTTTTACCCTTTATACCAATTGAACTCCCCAAATACCTGATTTTGAGCTCTTTCGGCAAGTCTGAAAAACACGTGCACTGAGATCATATGGTACCACGTGATCAGTCCAAGTTTTTGACTGTATTCGTACAGCCGGAAAATATACATCTATAACTAGACAACAGCGCCTCGGCGGAACGAACCGGCCTAGTTGCGATTAGACTGTTGAAACTTCAAACAAACTTTATCTAGGTACTTTCGGGAGATCCACTTGTCAAAAGGTTGCAACTTCTAACCCCGACGTGTCGTGATACTGTAGGGTGTGCTGTTACGGGGTCAATTCAGTATGCTCCTCCGTTTGTTCGGCATAACACAATGCTGTGTGTGGCGCATCTTGTCGCGCAACGGCAAAGCGGCCTGCTAAGTTTTTCGAAACGGTTAGGAAAGTCTTGTCGTGATAGTCTCCGGAATGTCTTCAGTTTCTTGGATTTGATAAGGCGGTATGAGCCAACTGGAAGGAAAAGGGTTATTTGGTGCCATGTACCTATCTTCATCAATGCTCCGTTCTAAAGGGTGATAGGCTACTTAAGCGAAGCTGCTAGACTGTATCCTCCCGATATCACCTTTCGAATGGCCACCTGAAAGAATCACATCTGGCATGAATGACTAACACGCAAAATAAATTCAATTTAATAATATAAACACAAAATACCGTGAGAGAACAACTAGATCGACAGATCTACTGACCTCTCAGTTAACTAAGGACGCCATGTGGGCAATACATATTGCATCACAAATCGTCACTGTCGAACGGAGGAGTCAGGACAACTGTTAACTAAGCGCAATGTGGCATAGATTTCACTCAAGTCTGATAGCAACAAAGTAGTCTTGTTCTTAGGCTTCCAGATTAACGGCAGATCGGACGCATAGATTCGACAGATGGCCCACAAAATGTCAACGTGGAACGACTGACATGCCCACTTCACCAGCTCTATTTTCCTAAAAGACGTAAGTTTCTTTAGTGGTTAATTGAAGGAGCAACGACACACTCTCAAAAAAGTTACATTTCTTAAGATACTCATGTAAGAGAAATGGTAATTCAAAGGGTTTGATTGTAGAAACATTGAGCCTCAAGAATCAAAAGTGACCTTAACTGCCAACCACCGTTTAGACACCAACTTTGAATCAACAACGCAAGGACAGTTGTCTTCGGCCGACTACAACTTCTCCAGTCTAGGCTCTTTTCTACACGTTTCGACCGCGGTATAGCGGGAAGACTACCGAAACACTGGCTGAGTGCTCGTAAGCGTTGTTTAACTTGCCTGTATGCCGGATTAGATACAACACTGTGAAATACCATGTCCGCATGTCCATACTAATTTCCAATCAACTCAATCCACAATTCAGTCAAGTTCCTCAGAGACCGTATCGTGTCCCCCTACAACATATGCAAGATTGTCTACAACTAATTCAAATTCCCTCCAGCCGCGGGCACACGAACCTTGGCGTGAACAAGTGGAAGTGACTATCTATATGGTGCGCATACATGCGTCCAGCGTGTGTTCGGACATGCGTGCGTTTCGTGCCTCTCGAGCAGAGCCCAGTGGAACGTGGCGTATGTAGGTCTATCATGTACTCAAGTCAACAACAACTGGAGTCCAATTAGGAGAGGGGACGCGCATGTGATTCGCGACAACACTGCTGTCACAGCCTAGTGGTCACACCTGAGCGTGAACGAACAACAGCTGGTCGGTACGCTCAAGTGGAATCAGAAGTGCAGCTACGGAGCAACATGGCTATATTGTGAGGCCGAATGCGCAACTGATGTACACAAGCGATCGGCAATGTGTAAGTAAGCGTTTTAACTATTCAGCGCTGGATTACGCAGCCAGTGGCTTGGCGTCCAATGGTGAATGCACGTAAAGAGCAAGGTAGGTGTGCCTTAGATGATCAGATTAGACAGCTGGCTGGTGATTGATGGAGCCATAAAGAGAGAAGTCAACATACTTGCTTCCCAGATGTGCATAGAATCATGACAAGTGAGAGAAAGCTAATCAGATGCAACTCACAAAGTGATTAGCGCACAATTGTAAGGCGCGTCGAGAACATAACCCATGGCTGAGTCTGTAGAAAGTCACACAATGAATGAAGAAACTCATCAGCATGAATTTGTAAGGCTAACAGTAAACCATCGGAAAAGTTTCTTTCTACCAAAAACCGGCTTTTGACATATAGCAGCGGTGGATAAGTATCAGAGCAAAAACGGATTACATTTGGTTACACAGAGGTCGTGGCCCAATGATAGGCACAAGCAGTAAATAGAGTGACTCCCCATCGAGATTCGTTCTTCAACTTATTAAGTAGCTCCTCGATTCGGACGGACGGGTCATGTTGCATTATCACAATAAGGAACAATCTGCAACCTCGTTGTCCACACTGTGAGAAAATAGGCGGGTTTGCATAAACCGTCTGGTCGAGTGACCGGTCGCATCAGCAACCAATATCCCGAATAGTCACTATATTGGTTTTTCTCAGTTTCCACAGGCATTTATTTCAACGAACAAAATGGGGAAATGATTACTCACAAATGTACTTGCGAATCCCGCCATATGGTTTCGTTCACTCGCTAGCCAGTGAACCATGTCTAACGCTTCAGGAGTTCTGAAATTCCAGTGACCAAGCTCTAGCATCAGTAGGAAGTAGAAACTGGAACACGCGACACCGTACCCGTCGTTTGGCATTTCCAGTCTTGGATTTTCAATCCTTCGGCCTGCTTGATCCAATTCCCACTTAGGTGGAGGTATTGGATAGTTTGCAAAGTACACGTATTCGCCCTTCTGCCGAAAGAGTTGCATTCGGTTTATAGCCCTGGAATTGAACAAAGTTGCAGTTGTTACCTTGGCTGATAGCCAACTAGTGCAGCCAAAAACGTGAAAAAGGGAGAAACATTTCGGCTTAAGAGGACTCGGAGCGTGAATAGGAAGTATTTAAACCAAGCATCTTTGGGGTCGGTAGGATGTTGATCATTAGTTTAGTAAGAAGACAATACTGATAGGGCATAGTCCGCGGATATGTTACTATAGGAGTAAATGATTACTTAAACAGAAACGTGCACGCGAGTGTGCCAATGAGTCAAAACCTGTTGTTATGCAATCCAATGCATTGGGGAGTAGTGTCAGGAGAGGCATGAGTACTCCTAACCCCAATAGCAGAGGAGAACGATGCTATCTAATGGAAAACGACCCCACAACCTGTGGACCGCTGGACAATAACACTGCATTTGGGGCGCAGTACACTGTTTACAAGCTGGGAATGTGATTGTGAAGCCTCCTAAAGCGTCCGTAACTTGCTAAGGGTTTTCATTTGTTAAATTGCTAATTCGACCAGAGTTTGGTCGTCCACTAATTACGGGAAACAGCGAGAGCATCCGACTTCTTGCTAGAGTAACCAGTTCAAGACAAGGCGAGTATTTAAACCAACGTCTCGCCGCGTTCTCCTTGATTACAATATCGGAATCGTTGACGGAAAAAGTCGGACCCAGACGTGTTTTAGAAAGAAGTGGCACAGTATCAGTGGTGTGTTCGGTTCGCGTATATCATTGCCACTGTAAGAGGTAAACAGAGAAAAAGGAAAATACTACCCGATAACCTTGATTGAAAAATTTAACCAATCAATCTCCCTTTCGTATACAACAGTTCGTAGCAAGTTACAGAGGATAACGAACACAAACATTCGGTTTTGCAGACTTCAAGAAAGAGGAATCCGAATATGTTGCAAAGGTTTCTCAAGACGCGGAAGAGGAATAGGCAGCTGTTGTCACGGACGTTTTGGGGCACAGACATGTCATGCGTCGATTCGACGAGGTTGATGGTCACAGGTGATTTATAATGACTAGTTACGCAGTATCATTAGCGGGCGTGCTATTGCTGCGTAGTACCAGAGCAAGTGAACTACATACAGACACAAGACAAGTAACAATAAACAGTACAAGTTATGAGGGATCATGTCTCACAGAGCAGGACAGGTCTGTTGACAATGTCTGTGGCTGTGGATGCATTGTACATTCTCCTCCAATCAAATTTATTAACTAATTTGTAATGAAGCACACCAATGTATCTGAACGCAATATCCGGGATTCTGTTTTCCCGTGCGTTCCCACTACATCAATGAAGCCGTTGAGCTGCAGCGCGTCAGATATTTGCCTCCTCAATCTCATCAGCCAATTCAGGTTAACCACTCGTATCGATGACGCACAAAGGACTGTGTTGGAGTGTGGACTGCGCCAGTCAACCCTTCACGCACTACGGACATTTCAGCACATGCGTTATTCTAACTAGTACTTCGTCTATCGTCTAAGTGCGCTTAAAGTAGGCAAGTTTATAAGTTATGGTAAGCGAACATAAGTTTTCAATAATTCATCTTCAGGCTTATAAAACGGCTTCTGTAGAAGTCGTTGAAGCAATTGCGATCCGGCTGTGAGAACAAAAGTTGAGACTACATTGGCCGAAACGGCTGGTAACCCCAGACCCGCAATGTCATTGGCAGTAGGTTGTTGTAACAACACACAGTACTGTCAGCATCCAATTAACTCGCTCTAGGGGTAACGACTTGTATTGTCTGTCTACACATTTTGGCTTGTATGAAATTGTAAAATTGATGAGTAGTAGGGAGGATTCCGGTATAATTCAGATAATTCATCATCGTCAGTCCCCATCACCAAGCTTAGCCTAGTCTGGAAAAGCACCAGACGCCGGCGTTTCGACCTTCTCGGTCTCGTCAGTGATGCGCCTCCCAGTGGATACCTGCCGGGTTCCGCCCCCATGACTTCAGGATGCCAGCAGCTAGTGCCACTTCACCATGGGTGATAGCCGCAGACCTGCGCGATTGACAGTTGACTATGATATAGCTCGGCTCAGCTTCCACCGCCATGCCAGTTACGAACTGTGCAGAGGACAGTGGCTATCCTCAAGTGCTAGGGTTATATCATAGTCAACGGTCAATCACTCAGGTCCGCGGCTGTCACCCATGGCGAAGTGGTACTAGCTGCTGGCATCCTGAAGTCATGGGGGCGGAACCCGTCAGGGGTCCTCTAGCAGTCGCGCCACTGACGAGACCGAGAAGTCGAAGCGCCGGCGTCTAGTGCTTTTCCAGACTAGCCTAAGCCTGCTGATTTGGAGTGATGGTGATGAATTATCTGAAAATTGTATAAGCCTGAAAATGAATTATGGAAAACATTTGTGCGCTTACGATGACTTCTGCCCCTGCTATGTGCTTTTTTTACAACAATTAAGCACCGCCTAAATAAGCTTCTTGTCCGGTCAAGAATGTTTCACTTAGGATTGTTGTAAGCTTTTTATGAGGCCTGAAGCCTTAAGAACAGAGTGAGCTTACTGGAAATTACGTTGATCAGCCAAGTCAAGCTATATAATGTGAGTCAGACAGACTGTGTTCACAATCGGCGCTGAACCACATGAATTACTACTGACTCATCCGGGCGAGTGCTGCTCATGGCTCGCGTCACAAGGTGGAGTTGAACGTATTGGCACAGGATGGACGCAAGTAACCGACACCCGTGTTCAGCAAGCAGTTGACTCAATGAGAGCAATAAGGTAACTTTGATTAGTTTACTGGTGGGATGAATTCGTGCTAGCCCCCCTAGATACCGGTTTGATTGTTTTAGGACCGTCGTTTGAAGGTTTTTAATACTCGTTTCTTTTAGTAAAACCACTATATCCGTGAAAGTTTTAATTTACGACAGTTGTAAAATTGAAGATGGAAACCCAAAAGCTAGCTTTCAAAATCCACTTGAAGGGTGACAAGCGGTCTGTTTCATTTGAGTAATGCTAGGTTGCCAACTTACTGCATTATTATTTGCTGTGATGTTGCATCCGTTGCTACGCTGAGTGCGTATGTTCCAATGACCAAAGAGAACAAATCATTCACTTGAAGGACATGCCGTCCGATGAACTGCACGGCTGATGACACAATAATCTCAGCGCGTTCTGAACCGATTCCACTGGGCAAAGAGCGTCCGTATGCTCTTAAAGCAATCACCACCATGGCAGCGCAGGGCAAGCGTCGGTGAGCTTCCCTGTCGATGGGATCAGTGGCGTTGCTAACTGGAGCAAACCGTCGATCTAGCACTTCACTGAGGTTCCAACTGCCTGCCAACCGAACATCAACGCTGTCCACTGCGCCTGTTGTGGAAGACTTCTGTTGAGTGTTCTCCAGATAGGTAATTATTTTGATGAACGTTTCGTCATCCACGTGTATCAGACGATTCCACTGCGGCTGACGGGTAAGAAGAAGGTTCCAGAAAGCAAATGCAGTGGCTAGTGGCTCCGGTCTGTTGGAAAGCAAGAAGAATAGAGCAATGCGTAAGGGTATCCTCGGCATAATAAGCGACCACCGTCGTTTGTGAATGCAATAGAAGACACGGTGTTTCAAAATCGGTCTCTCCGACTGCATCACCACGTTGTAACCATCACCTTGTTTAAATTCCCTTGTCCATTAAACCCGTATTGCAGTATATAGACCCGAGGCCAAAAATGATGAGTTGAGTTGATTATGCGAATTTCTCTGTACAGCAAGGAATTACACCAGTTACCCTGCCACGAATATATTAAAGCAATAAAAGGCGCGTGATAACAGTAAACGCTAAAACTGATCACGGAGTTAAAATAGGTGATTGGCAAATAATTATTAATTGCGACATCCACCACGACTATCTGTCTTGTCCCCAGGAGTTCGACTTAGCAGCTTCTTAGATTGCGACACGCGAATCAAAGACAACGCACCGGACGGGAAGTATATTTGCGAAACACTGCACGGGCCGACGTGGGTATGAAAACACTCTGATTACAGTTCAAATCACGGCTGAGTGCTAATTTGAATTTATCGATTCCAAAGAATCACGGGACGTGTGAGTGGTATGAAACAAGCGGTGGTAACAAATGTTCTGTAGCACAGGAATACTCTAGTCTACTTGTAACTGAGACTGTCCTGATACAAGGCACACGGTTACTTGGGGAAATTTCGCACTTACCTTCGCGAACAAGTCAATTTGTTTCGTTTCTGTTTCTCATTTGACTTTGGTCTGACCTAACACTGTCGAGAATCTTATTTCTGTTGAGGTCCTCATATTCGCATGCTTTATCATATGCGCAGATACGTAAAATTAAAGCACATTTTTGCATTATGGTAGAAACACTCGAACCAAGTTATATATCACTTGATGATGAAGGATACCGACATGAAGACAACTTATACCATGGGGATGAGGGGAAATAGTTTAGAATATATCTATGGACATTGTGACCAACGCGTTACTTTCAAATCCAGAACCATGGAACACGCTGAAATGGCAGCGGGACAAGACGAACTATGCAATGCCCAAGTGACGTTGGTCCATACAAGTAGCAAATTGAGCTAACCAGATGTCAGTTTCAGCTGTTGTGCCAACAGGTTAGTCTTTCCGATGAATCCAGTTGAGTCAGACGACTGTGAAATGCGCGCACCGTCGTGCGACTGTTTCCTTAGCGTAAGGCCACCAGCCAATAGCATATCGGATGCATACTAGCCATAGCAACGTGTACCCATGTATTGGGCATGGGGGTGTAGGGGAATCACTACAGCCCGGAGTCGCGCGTGTGCGGATTGGCACATGGACAGTGACGGATTACATGACGGGGGTGGGGTAGTAACTTGTTACTGTCTGTGGTCACTAACGGCAGGCTAAGATGAAATGGGGTCAGAGTATGATAGGGAATTCGGGCGCAATTCACCGCACCACCAGAACAGAGCCATTTGTCGAATAGAGCCACTGGCTACTCGCCTTCTGACACGGCCGACAGTCAATGTTCCTAACCTAAACCCCAGGTGCTTGTCCTTAAGATCTATCGCATGCTGTGGACACATGGCATGCACGGGGCGACAGGCATCATACGAGTGGTGCATTGAAGCGCGGGGGTCACAACTTACTTTGATCAAACCGCTAAACCGCATGTGTATCTGTGGCCATAGACACCTTCACTGGTGCGATGACCGCAGCGCAGCGATTGTGCTTGTTCCACGGCTAGCACGTAATGCACTTCAAAGCAACCTGTGAAAGTTACACTGAGTACGGTTCAGTAGGGGCACTGAAGTGAATGCTCAGAGAGTCGCGTTGGTTGGTAGGGTGTGGACCGGAAAATCCAAAGATGAAAGTGATACCACAATTAGGTGTATACTAATCTTGCGGTGATACCATGATGTACTATGGGTGGAGGAGTAGTGATGCAAGACGAGGCTGATAATGGGACGTTTACATAGGGAGCGGCTTACGGGCTCCTTGTGTGCTGTTGCGTGCCCACGCAGGTTGCGAATCGAGAAATGCCTTGCGACTGAGGGCAAGTGTGAATGAGTCTCGCTTGTTGCGCAATTGAGCTTAATAGGCAGCAGCGGACAAGCAGCGCAGTGTCTCAGAGAGGGGGAGTTCAAGTCTGGCCATCTGGTTATGTATTAAATACCACAAGAGATCGTGCCACTATGTGACAAAGCCAATGTTCGCGGCTATACGGCCAGTGGCCACCCACTTTTTAACCGGAATGAAGTACCTAATGGAGGGTGGATGCACACCTCGATTACTACACGCTTCTGTGTGGACTACCAGCGAAAACTAAGATAGCGTTTGAGCCGCCTGGTTGTCGACTGTTTTTGTATTCAGCTAGGAGTCGGATGTTCCAGGAAACGTTTCTTGGTCTCTTTACTGCTATACTCGTACTGTTCCCCCGCCATGAGTAGTTTGTTGCCACTCGAAACTCGTGTTAGCGGCTCTCGACTGTTTGTGGTATACGTTACTCGATTCACTGTTTTGCGGGTAAAGCCTTTAGGAACTAAGGAAAGGGCTCTGGTTAAATAAGTTAACCAACGTTCCCTACCTGGGTAATTGAAAGCTCTATGTGCGCAAAACACACTATGACATGAATCTACGTAATCCTCGGATCATTCGCAGGACACATTACCGCCAAACTTATCGGGAGACTTGAGTGAAGAAGCCGCGGACCAGGCCGATGTACGACTTATGTTTAATGCGCACGCAGAATCAGCGCTACTTGTTTGGATTCCAATTAATAACTAACCCTGTGCAATTCGGTTAGTAGTCCTCATACGATTGTGCAGCCGCGAGGCAATCAAACACTGTTTGTTTGGCGCACCAGTGAATGTTCCCACGGGTTGAAGCCCGGAGTAAGCTAAAGATGAGTTCTACCGTCAACTCTCCGACCTACTCCATAAGAATCACCATAAGAATATCGTGGTTCTCACCGGGGACCCAAGTGCACCGGTTGATAGGTTTGAAGCTTGGGTATTCGCATGACGGATTATGCATGATAAAGAGAAACATCAGCAGTATGTCGACACACAGTACCGACGCTTTGCTGCCGCGCAGCCACCACCAGTCGAACGTGGGCTAAGGATACTACGAGGGTTACCCGGTCCCTCCGCGGTCTCGAACCCGCGTCGTTAGATTACGGGATTAAGGAGGCTAACTGCCACAGGTCTCCGCTGATCACGGTCGTGGACACAGACTGACCACATCGTCACCGATTACGGTTGACGAGGCTGTTTAACGGACAGCAGATCAGGTTAAAGTGCTTAGGTAGCTTCTGATCACGCGCGTGTTTGCTAGAATTGCTCTGCGTTTTTATCGGCACCTAGCAGCATCACCGGAAACAGCTTGAAGTAGGCCAACTTGTTGTTCTAAATAATTTGGGTGCCTTTCGGAATTCGTTGTGTTCTATTCTGAAGAGCTCTTTGCTCACAGATGTTGAACAATGAACAATGATTTATAACGGGTAAAAAAGCAGGTGCTTGATATGTCCCGTAGGGTGGTTAGAATGAGAAAAGACAGATCAAGGGATAATGGAGTCGTCAGTTCGGGCGCTTACTGACGTAACAGCACTGTCTTCTAAAGGGAGTTTGAAATGAGAATGTACGCACACAAAGCAACAGGGGAGTGGTTATTGTTCACATCATAGGCGAGAAAAATAAAAAAGATGGCAAGGACAACGCTTACTCGTGTGCAACTATCTTGGGTCGACAGGATACAGAAATCCAGTTTCCATAGTAGTAGCGTTTGTCAAATTTCGTGCAAGGCGTTTGGAGTGACTCATTCTCGAGTGGGGTTATGGCACTATCCCTGTCTATTGTGCATTAGTGCCAGCACCTAGTGGTCATGAGCTATAGCACATAGTGTAAATGTGACAGGGCATCGTCAAGGCGTTTTTTGAAAAGGGATAGGGTGGGTGCATTAATTACATGTTCCGGGAGGGCGTTCCAAGGCTGTGCCACTCGAAGGGAGAAATAGTTTCGCCGACATTCCAGGCGGCTGTACTGCGTGACTAACTTAAACTGGTGACCTCTTAGCGAGGTGTTTTGACTGAGTATTAGAAGGGAATGGCATGGGTGGTTGGGGTCTCTCAAGATTAGGTACACCATTATGAGATCGCCCCTTAGACGCCGATAACGTCCACTGTATATTTTGAGGGTCTTCAGCTTGAGTGGGTAGGGGAGGCTGGTCAAACCTCTGACGCTTTTCGTTGTCCTACGTTGTGCAATATCGAGCGCGGTGAGATGGTGCTTGAGCCAGGGTTGCCACAGTTGAATAGCGTATTCCGCGTGCGGCCTCACGCACGCACTAAGCATTGTTGGAAAGTCTGAAGAGTCAAACTTCCCGAAGGCTCTGCGAAGAAGGCCGAGGTACTAGTCCGCTTTTTTAGCTGCCTTTTCAGTCTGCCTCGAACAACCCAGGTCATCTTGAACTATCACACCGAGATCGCACTCATGAGAAGCCTGCTGTAGAATTTGTGGTCCTAGGCGATAGTTGTGCATACTCTTGTGCCGTATGCTGAGAACTTCGCACTTGGTGATGTTGAAGTACTGCATGTTCTCGGTGGACCACGTGTACGCTTTGTCCAGGCCCTTCTGTAAGACTGTGTGATCCTTCACTTCAGCTATAGTGCGCTATACATTTAGGTCATCAGCAAATAGCAAACAGTTAGAGATAGCACACTCGCGAGATCACTTATGAAGACCAGGAACAGGCGAGGTCCAAGTACCGAGCCTTGAGGTACGCCGCACTGAACTGTATGACTTGGCTGTACCCACGGACGCCGCGGAATTTTCTGCTACCACGCGCTGGATCCTGCTTTTTCTCTGGAATTACTGTATTTTACGTGTGTTGCTGTGTTAGTTGTGCACCAAACTTTTTAGTTTCGTGTGTTCATCAATCCGTGAAAGTTTCGTGGAATTCCGCTTGATATCTTCGGAGATCTCAGTGATTTACTGCTGTGCCCGTCATTTTGGAAT